CGGGCCGCCGCCGGCTGGACACCAGGTGCTCTGGGCGCGCGGGCGCCGGGCTCCGGGCTCCTCTGGGAGCCGCGGGTCCGCGTTTGGAGAGGAGCAGGCAAATGGGAGGAAGGGAGTGGGGGGCAGAGAGTGACAGTGAGGAAGGTAGGGGGAGACGCGGGGAGGGCAAGAGGGAGAAAAAGAACGGTGTGCAGGCGAGCGGACAGGGAGACAGAAAAACGAAAAGAGAAGGAAAAGCAGGAGAAGAAGGGAGCCAAGGAGGGAGCGCAGCGAGAACAGCAGTGGGGAGAGGGGGCGAGGGGGCGGAGGCGCGGAGGAGGAGCGCGCTTGCTCTCCCCTCTCCCCGGCGTGCGGGGCAGAAGCTCGGGCGCCGCCGCCGCCGCCGCCGCTCCGGGCCGCGCAGCTCGCGCTCTGCCGCGGGAGGTGGCGAGGAGCGGGAGGGAGGGGCGCGCCGGGGCTGTGGGGAGGGGAGACTATTCCATCAGCGAAAGGAGGATTGGCTGCATCCAAAGCCAGTCCGGATGCAAACTAGGACTCTGGCCCCAGCTGGGTGGGGTGCAAGGGAGCGCGGCGGGGGGGGCGGGGGGGAGGCGGGAGGTGTGGGGAGTACTTGGAGGGGGGCCACCTTCTGCAGTTGTCACCGCGTCAGCTCTGGGCAGCAGCCAGAGCACCCCTCCCCCCCGTTCTAGACAACTTCGTCCAACCGCCCCCTCTGACGGACCCCAAGTCTCCTGTCTCCACGCCTCGGCGGTCCAGCGGGGCACAAAGAAATCTCAGTCTCTCCATAAACTTTGTGCTTCCAGTTATGCCGCCCCCTCCCTTGGCCCCCATCCCCGCCCCTGCAGCTTCTTGGCAGGAAGATTAGGCCACTGGCAAAGTCCTGCTCCAGAGAGCCAGCTGATCACAAATGCCAACTGTGTGTCTTGGGGCGAGTTAAGTCCTCGGGTCTGCCCAGGCTCTCAGGAGACCATTTCATTGCTCTCAAGGTTCCCTGGGGACCGCTGAGGACAGGAACCATCCCCCACTTGGTGCTGAGCAGCGTCCTGAAAGTGCGTCTTCTTCGCCTCGAGTTTCCATTTTAGATTGTAAAAATTGCCAATTCGGACAAGGGCAGCTATTTTCTCAAAATAAGAAAAGGAGGACTGTTAGCTAAGTGCCCAAGGTGGGAAATGAACCATTTTTAATAAAACTAACTTTTTTTAGGAAGTCTGTGGAAGTTATGAAGTCGCACCCCGCCCCATGGCCTTTCATTCTTTTAAGTTCTTCTGCCACAGGGAAGCAACAAGAGATTAATGAAAGATTTGCCATAATTTCCCAAGCAGGTAAGACCCAATAACTATTTCATGGTTCTTCAGCTTCTAAAGTTTTGTTTCATTCTCATTCATTATTTGTATGTGTAGTATGTCAGAAACTGCAAGCCAACAGGACAAACTGTGAGATGATTTGCATAGTTATTTTGGTCAAGTTAAGCTCTGTGAGGTTAGCTTGGTTTCTAATAGTTTCATACACACTAAGTATTAAATGTATTCTCGTGGGTGGGCTGGAAGGAGCTTCTATACAAGTAGCGGTGGAACGCTTGCTTTATGTAATCAGTATTTACTAGTAAACTCCACTGCAGTTAGTATGTATCCCCCAGATACTGCTGACTTTCCTTCTAAGAGGTTGTGAAATCATCCATTCTGATATAAAATTATGTCCCCTTTGTTTGGTTGACTAGCACTAGTGTGAGCCCCACCAAACAGGATACACTCAAAGGATCTGGGGGTCAGCACAGAGACTAGGCTGATTGAGCATAATGCAGGCCGCTTGGTGTGCAGGAGGTGCTGTAATCAATGTCATTTATACCCCCATCAGGATGTCTTCTGGAAGGTGTAAAGAGTTGACTTGTGATAGGTATGGCTGAGATCATCTTAATACCGAGTTGAAGACCAACTGTAAATTTTATTACATTGCTATCAGTACCATTACAATTTGAGGTTGTAAGAATACGTGGTCCTTTGCAACGGGAAAGCACTAAATGACAGAGTCCCTACCCTACAAATTAAGGCTGCAAGTACCATGAAACCAGGGTTATTTGTGTTTGTGTTGTTGAATGAATAGCAGAGAACTACAGATTTTTACCTCCTTCATTTACAGCTCATTACAGCTAAATTGGTGTGCTTAGAATCGGATGTTTTGTGCATTATGGTTTTGAAAGATCTTTTTACAGAACTGGCTGACTTTTTATATCAACCAAAAGGAATGCCCATTGGAATTAAAATATCCTAACAGTTAGTGTTTCTTTTGGCATGTGAAATAGTTAAATATGCAAAGGAAAAGGAGAAGCAAATAAATCTCAGCTAAATATTCAGTTAAAAAGCTGAAAGAAGCAAAAGTCAGAGAATTCAAGGCAAGATTGATAAAATAACCAGCAATAGATATCAGTTTATCTAAATTCATAAGTATACATATATATTAATTATACTGTGTATGAATGAATTAAACTATGGGATAATGATATATTTTGTATTTTTCAACATTTTTAATGAGAATGTTAATGATATTTAAGGTTCAATTTTTTTTCTAGTTTAACTCACAAAAGTTATCAAATAAAAAGACAGCAAAAGCCTATAAGCAGTTATCTCTGTCCAAATGGATATAGCAGCCCCCAAACCACAGTTTCATGACCATCAAACAATGATTATGAAAACCACAGTTGAAAAAAGCATCAGGGAATGCTATTGAAAAACCACAGTAACAAATGTGTCTGTGATACTGAAAACCACAACTCACAACTAACACCCTATGTATTGCAAATTACTGTTTAGCTATAAATGTAAAAATGTATAAGTAATATAACAATAATTTCTTATTTACTTCCAAATGAATTGTTCGTGTTCTAGGTTTACCAATTTAATGTCTGCATGATAGTTTGTTTAAAAAAGTTTCTGCTTGCAAAGATAAGTCATTTTAAATTCCAGATAAAACGTTAAGCTACTTTAACAACAGGATAGTTCAACTTTTAACATTTTGTCAAAAGCTAGAAGAACTGATTTGAGAGGAGCTGAAATAAACATCTACCTCAGTCTAGCTTCCTTCATAAAGTTCTCTCGGAGTGAGAAGGGATTTGAGTAGAAATTGTTCACGGAAAAAAGCTTGAAGTATTCTCGTACAACTTCAGTGAGAATATAATTGCATATATTCCTAACTATTCAAGTTAACACATCTGACCACGTGAGACGTCAGTAGTAAAGCTACCTTATTATGCAAAAAAACAGGTATTTATATACAAATGATTAAAGTAATATTATTTGCAAGTATCTAGGATTGCTAATTTACCAAATTAAAATACAGAATGCGTGACAAAATTTGAATTTCAGACCAACAACAAATAATTTTTAATGTAAGGATTTCCCATGCAACATTGAGACATACTTATACTAACAAAATCATTATTATGTTTCAGAAATTTAAATTTAACTGGACATCCTGTATTTTATTTGGCAACCCTACAAGTTTAGTATTTAAGCATTTTCACAAATTTATGGTTGCTTATAATATTGTTTATGGAAAAGGCAGAGAAACTCTGAAGTACTTCCTACCAATATAGATATATTTAATTCTTGAAAACCATATTATTTAGGGGAGGCAAGGTAGGAGTACACTTCTATGCAAAAATTCTTATTTTATTTGTCATATACAGTAGAGAAATGCACTTTCAATGTAAATGAATTGCATTCATGTATGTCTTACTCTTGGATATATTTTTAAAATGTGTTTTTTCCTCTAAGGGATCAACAAATTGATAAAGTAACCTCCCAGGCCACATCTTATTAGGCAGCGAGCTGCCTGCTTTATTATGGGAGTAAACAATATCCAAAAGCTTCAGAGAAGACTTAATTTTTGCCCTTGTATCCTCGCCAGAAATTGAATACAGTTTATCTGTCTCGAGTTAAGATTGTGACATTGAATTGAACAAGAATGCAGTATAAAAAGAGTGTTTAGTATTTGTGTATCTTTATAATTTCAGCAGTTTAAAAATAAAAATCAACAAATTCATCTAAATGGCATTCCTATTTTATAACTATGAAAAGGACTATCTGTTTACTTGTGAAGGAGCCATGGGCTTTGAAAATTTTCAGTCAGTTTAGTTCAGGGGCTTTAACTTGGGCTTCATGTGGACTGTTGATGCCTTGGAAGAAATTTGTATGTACAAGTAGTTGTGTAAGGACTGG